AATGTTTTGAGAATAATGAGGGCAATGAATGTACAAATGTGCTTTACACAATTGATGTATTTATGGATTGTCCTAAGAGTTGTATGAGCCCCTAATAAAACGATTAAAGGAAAAAACCAACTCTATCCATAACTTTGCTTCATAATACTTCCTGTTTCTATTTACCTTCCTCCGGCCCCACTATCACGCTTACTCTTCTTCTGCCTCGTAGTAATTCCTCAGCTAGATTGCTGTTAGAGCCAAAGTTTGTAAGTGTTTCCATGTCCCAGACCGATTGTCTTGAATTATATTTATGCTTCTGAAACCAAATGTTTAAGTAAAACTTTTGAACTTATAAACCCAATTACAAGCAAACCTTATTGTTTTCCCACCCTGCTCCTAGAGTAATTAGAAAGAAATGTAGTATTCTCCCATGGTTGCAATGTTGGCATGAACATTCAAGCATCCCTGTTAAAAATCAGTTACCTATCTTCTGAGCCTTATCCCTGGTTCAGTGCTGCCCTTTGATGGGAAGGTTTGGCTGTTCTAGGAAGGGTAGATAGTGCTGTTACTGTTCATCTTAGAGGCCCGTGTTTGGGCCCTCGGCTGCTTAAAGGGAAACAAAAGGCCATACTCTCAACTGTTCTTCTAGTAGCTATCACAGTAGGAGGTCTGTCTTATTATTTTACTTTTTCTTATTTTGCTCCACATTTTCCCTGCCTCTTTCTGGACCTCATACTATGACCTCTTTCAGAATATTAAGCAGTGAGATCCAGGCACAATGTAGTTCTGGTCTCAGGGTCACATATGCCGAGCTTTGTATGGTGCATTAGGCCTTCGAAGCAACTGTCAAGCCCAATTCTAATCTATTACAATGAAATACTTTTATTACTATCCTTTCCTTTGGAAAGCTATTAAAAACAATTGTAATAGTAACACAATTTCCTGTCAACTTGATAAAAGAATGAAGGAGTGGAGTCTAGGCTGCCAATCAGGTCACAGCCTGATTGATCCCTCCTTGTAGGCATGGCCTTCTCATGAGGACTCTAGGAACTTTTCTTTCTTGATTCGTCCATTAGAAGAGGCGGAACTCTCTGCTCCACCTTTCTGTTGACAAGCCTGAACCACATGGCAGCCAGAGCCCTGGAGATGCTCCCATCCTCACTGGATCCACAAGACTTTCCACCCACCAGCCTGTAATCTTCCTGCATTTGGCATCATTGCGAGTGGCAATGTGAGTGTGAAGAGGAATTTATGGACTAGCATTAGACTTATAGGCTAATATCGGACTTGATCTGGACTGGGCTGTTTTCTTAATACACAATTACTCTTTGATATAAAGTTCTCTCGTATACATATATAAATGTCCATGAATTTGTTTCCCTAGTCATCCTGGACTAATACAACAGTTCTATTTACTTTGTATTTGGCTAATGTGTTAGGTTTTTTTGTGCCAACATGGCTCCAGTAGGGACATGTGGAGGCCAGCCTCTTCCTCTCTTTCTCCCTAGTGATCAGACCAGCTTGCTGCTGCCTGTGAGTGGCTCTGCCAACCCATGGATTGTGCCATCTTGCTCTGTATCGAATGTCTTGAGGCTACAAAGCAACCTGTTTCTCTATGCTGCTGCTGCACTACTGGCTTCTGCTGCACCTTGACATCTCATCTTCCTGCTGTTGCAGCCCCACCTTGATGCGTATGCTGCCTGCAGACTGGACTCTTGCTCGTCTTCCCTGGGGGCAGACCCCATATCTCCCAACAGCCACTTCACTGTCTGTTTACCTGACCTTGGACCAGCCCAGCAGCTGACTGTGAGTTGGGGTTGACGTGAGTTGGAAGGACCTTCAGTATATTAACTGTGAACTTAGCAGTTTTATTCCTTCTTGCTATATAAACCTATCCTCAAATACATAATCATAAGTGTCCTGATTTTGTTCGTCTAGTGAACCCTGCCTAACACACCTGAAATCACACAATCACTTGTACGGTGGACATGCTTGTCTCCCTCAGGAAATGCACACACAGGGCATATGGGAGCTCCCTGGGACTGGTCTATCAGGACATCAGGAATGACAATATGATAATCAAGATAGATCTTCGAGGGGATGAGGCCTTAAGTTTATTTTCTACCAATGGTCTCTTCACGCCATTAAAAATATAGTTTAAATTAACGTGATCTCTCCGTCAGTTGTCCAACAGTTCCAAGCTCGAACTTTCTACTACTTGAACGGCAAAGTGGAAAAAAAATCTGACTGTTCTTGACAGTCCAGTGAAAATCTGACTTGAAAAAACTGGTATTGGCCAAGAGTGAGTCGTCCTACATCGTACCTCAGACACAGAGGGGTGACTCACCCCTCTTCCAATGACCCTTACAGGTTTCTGAGAATGTAACTGTTGACAAGAGCGGAAAGTCATTTCTACGCTCTCTCCTGTTTGTGTTAGTACGTGATTTCTTGTGTGCTTTGAGTAAAATATCGGGCAGCCATGGATCCAAAGAAAGTCAGTGATAACAGCAGTAAAGTTAGGAGGAAAACGGTGAGAGCCATGATAGTGTTAAAGAAAGACATCACTGCAAAATCGTAATGCGATCGCTGCTTGTCTGATTTGGCAGCTGAAGACAGCGTGATGAAGCAACATGGCTAAGTCGATATAAACATTTTTAGGAGGAAAAATGCTGTGAAAGCAGTTAGTCTAGTGAAAGGTGCGAAATTGTTAACTAGGAAACAAAAACTCCAGACCACCTAAGAGGCTGAAAAGTGACTGTTAATTTGGGTAAATCAGAAACAACTTGAGGACAACAGGGTGTGCGAGAAGGCTAAAGTCTCCATGGTGCAGTTTTTGGGCATCGGAGCCAATCACTTAGTTTTCCATTATTCCTCATGGGAAAAATGCGTTCAGTTCTTGAACTTTCCGATTTTCTAACACGAATCTGAACAAATTGGGCTCAACATTTGAGGTATTACTGTATTTCCCTCAATAAAAATAAAATGCTCTCAATTCTGTAAGACATTCTCAAACAATATAAGCTGTCAACTCATATAATGACAGAAATAAATTTATGAAGGGTTTCATGCATATGTGACTGAGTAATCTCTAAGCTTCCCTCTAAAGTTCTCGTACAGTAATCTTAATTTTTATAGAAATAAATGAACAAATCATCTTATTTGGAAGTAGTTTTCAGTCTTGGTGACTCTGGAATGACTCAGTTGGTGTTTTGTAGGAATAGATTCCTTCATTCTAATTCGACTTCTGGGAAAGAAAATGCAAATCTTAGAGCAATAAACAAATGATAAAGAGGGTGGGTTTTATTAGATTACTCAAGTGTTTTAAAACTGCAACCCATTTAAAAAAATCACAGCAAACAATCATCACTTACTAAGAGTGGCACAATGCTCAGTTATTAATCATAAGGTCGGTGGTTCTACTCCTTCCGAAAAAGATGTGTCAGTCTGTTTCTGTAAAGCTAACTAATAGCCTTGGAAATTCTGTGGGCAGTTCTAGCCCATCCTACAGGGTTGCCAGGAAGAGCAACTGGTTGGTGGCAGTATGTTTTGCTTTATAAAGCTTATGAGGAAAAAGCTTGGGGTGCTGTAATAGCTTATAGAACTGGTAGACGCAACTGGTTTGGGAGGGGCATTGCCAGGCCCAGTTCTGAGGAAGAGGCATCTGCAGGGGGTAGAAAGGAGGTTCAGGAGGTAGGCAGTTGGTTAGAAGGAGGTGGAAGTGTGTTCCAGCAGAAAACATTAGATAAAGGTGCTAAGGACGGTTGTGTGACAACAGGGATGATTTATTATCAGAAGACTTATTAGGGGAGATTTATTAGCCGAAAAAACAGAAAAGCAGATTTTGAACCTGCTCCTTTGCTTGCAGAACCTAACACTCTTGAACAGGAAACGTCCATCTTACTCCAGAATATGCGGCGACAGTGCCTCAGAAGCACACAGTAGCGCTCCTCATCAACACTGCCAAAACAGTTTGAACAACTAATGCTTTCTATGGGAAACATAAAGAGTTGGGAGCCTTTAAACAGAAGCAAAAACACAGAATTCTATGACCTTCCTCATATCAGTGTAGGAGTAACTTTTGTTCATTCTGAAAACTCCATTCACGAGCTGAGCAGACACATGTGCCTCCTCTCTCTGTAATAAAGATCAGCGAAGACGGTTTTGTTGTTGGCTGTCACAGAGCCCATTTTCAACTCACAGTGACCCCGAGACCGAGTCCACGGTCTACACAGGGGCAGATCAACAGATTTGAACCAACCACCTTTCAATTACACATTTTATCACCTGGGTTCCAACAAGCTTTCAAAGGGTTCAAGTGTGTGATGACAACTTGGCCATGTGCTTTTATCAAATCTCACTTTTGACCAAGGGCGTGTCTGAAATGAGCTGACTGGTTAGAATGTGAAATGTCAAGCACATACGTATATAACATGGAACAATAACAGTAATAATGGTCGGGCAATACCTATATGTATTTACGGTTGTTTTTAAAAAAATCATTTTATT